CCCTTCTTGGTCCCAAATATAGTACGGCACCCTTATAAAAAGGACCCCCAAAATGGACTCTAATTTAGAGAACTACCCATGTCACACTTTGTGTTGGATGACCTGTTTTCTGCCCAGGATCCACCAAGAAGCTAAGGCATAGAAAAGGAACTATGTCTGAGGCTTTTTTCAAGTGCTAGACGAGCCTTCCCTGAGCCCTAAGCCCCAAAGTCCCCTAACCCCAGTCCCCAAACCCTAAACCCAAAACCCTAAACCCTAAACCCTATACCCTATACCCTAAACCCTATACCCTAAACCCTAAACCCTTAACCCTAAACCCTAGTGAGGACTGCGAGACCGCTCCGGATGAGATCCAGCGGGAGATCGAGGCCAAACCGACCCAACGGGGCCGTATATTTTAGCGTTTCGGGTTTAGGGTTTGAAGGGTTTAGCGTTTAGGGTTTAGGGTTTGCAGGGTTTAAGGTTTAGGGTTTAGGGTTTAGGGTTAGGGTTCAGCTTAAGGGAATCAAGCCCCCTATAGGCCCTGAAGGCCTAAAACCCAAAAGGCCCTAAAAACCTACACCCCTAAAGCCTCTAAGCACCACTCTTAGCAGCACCCGTCCTATTTCCAATCAGGAAAACCGACGGGCGTGGGCCAACTGCAAGGCGGGGCGACTTTGCCGGGTGTCGGTTTTTGGAAAGAGACGTTTAGGATTTAGGTTTTTTGCGGCTTAGGGTTTAGGGTTCATAGGGCTTCGGGTTCACGGTTTAGGGGTAATAACATAGGAACCAGAAGAGGATGGGTGTAGCAATTCGGGGTGCTTGCCTGGGTGTTCCTTAGGAATGAGGTATTCTTTCTTTGTTAGAGCGCAAACCCTAAACCCTAAACTGTTTCCCCTAAACCCTAAACCCCTAAACCCCAAACTGGCGCTTGCCATTTGGGCCAGGAGGGCTCATGGTTTTTAGGGGTTCTCTGCGAATTCTTGTAGGGCTTCAGGGTTTGCGGTGTGGGATTGAGGGTTAACCCTAAACCCTAAACCCTAAACCCTAAACCCTAAACCCTAAACCCTGTGTTTTTTTGTGTTTTTTTCTGGGGGGGCTGTCTAGAGTTAGTTCAGGGTGTAAGGTGTAGGATTGCGTCTTAAGGTGAGGCTTTAGGGGACATGCGGGGCATCCGTGTGAATCTCAGAAGTCCTAGGGTTTAGGGTTTAGGGTTTAGGGTTTAGGGTTTAGGGTTTAGGGTTTAGGGTTTAGGGTTTAGGGTTTAGGGTAGAGTGCAACCCACCAGCAAATTCGGGATCATGGCCTTGGTAAGTCGCATTACACCTTAACCTGCCCGAACCTATTTTTCCAGAACCCTAAACCCTAAACCTTAAACCCTAAACCCTAAACCCTAAACCTTAAACTTCAACCCTGAACCCTAAACCCGGGTAGAGGTAGCTATGACTCTAACCTCACTCTGACCCATGATCCTCTCAGTAGGCAGATCCGGGACGGTGGATCTGACTTGGTTTTCAGGGGCTGCCATGAGCGGCCTATGCCTTGAGCTATCCGGTTCTGGGTATGAGGGTTTAGGGGTTAGGGTTTAGGATTTTAGAGTTTAGGGTTAGGGTTTAAGGGTTTAAGGGTTTAAGGGTTAAGGGGTTAGGGGTTGGTGTTTATCTGGGTATGAGGTTCTAGGTTCGGGATTTCCAATTTTGGGGGGTTTCGACTTTCGACAGCCCACGGCATGAAGAGTCGAAAGGACAAGCTTTAAAGTCTGAACTCCCGACTGAACGGTGTCCTTGGAAAGCCTGCAGCAGCCAAGCGTCAAAGCTCTCAAACCCTAAAGCCCTAAACGTTAGAACCCAGAAGAACCAAGCCCTAGACCTACATCCTAAGCCCTAAAACCTACAGCCCTAGAGCCCGAAACGTTTAGAAACAAGAAAGATCCCTCATCCCAAATCCCAGAACTTTCAACACTCCAACGCCACTAAAGCCGTCTGGTCTTGGGTCGGTTCAGGGTTGAAGGATTAGGTTGACAAGCTAAACACAGCTACGCATAAGAGTCCTTGGGGTTTAGGGTTTCAGGCTTAGGGTTTACTGTTCACCGTTTGAGGTTAAAGATTTCTCAGGCTCTGGGGTAAAGGGCTTCGGGTTTACATTGGTGTTTTCAGTATACTGCCAAGCGGATGAGATATCATACAGTACTTAAGCCCTAGTCTAAAATCTCGGCCTTGTAGCAAGAGCAGGGGCCAAGTTTCAACTGCGCAGGACGCCCTCCTCGAGCACTTCACATCCATGGCGGATGATCCCGACATTCCCTGGCTTGAGAAGCGCCTCCCCTTTGGGTTTAGGGTTTAGGGTTTAGGGTTTAAGGTTTAGGGTTTAGGGTTTCGGGTTTAGGGTTTATGGTCGGGGACAGCAGAAAAAAGCTTTACAGTCTGATTCAGCTTAGGCTTGCGCTGGGCTGAAGCCTTTGAGCCTGAATTGCCCACAAGAACAAGTAGACCTGAATTATTTTGCCGTGCTCAGTGGGATTTTGAATCAGAGTTCCGTCTTGTCTTTGGGACTCCGAGCCTAAGTATCCGGGACCGACGCCCTAAAGCCCAGAAAAAAACACTAAACCTTAAAATTTGTTTGCAAAGGAAGCCCTAAGCCCTAAACCGTGGAAACCTTCAGGCAGTCTTACTTAAACGAAACCTAAACCTTAAAGCCTAAACCCGAAAAAGCACGCTACACCCTATATACCTGAAAAAGGGCTCTATATAAACAGTATATATCCTCAACAGGGCTCTAAACCCTGAGCCCTAGAACAGTGCCCAAAAGCATCCCTTACGCCCCACGCACCCCATTTCAGCACCCTGAACCCTACATGCCCTAATTCCCGAACTCAACGAACAGTGCGGTCGCTCCGAGAGTGGAGGGAGCTTTCGTCCTTTTACCGGTTTAGGGTTTAGGGTTATTTACCACAACCCTAAAGCCTACGGCTTAGAATTTAGTGTAAGGTTTAAGGTTTTCAGCGAAGATGACAGAGGTGGAGGGGTTGCCCGAAACTGGCGTTTGGGGCAGGCCACCTACCCTAAACTCCCGTTTATGGTTTAGGGTGATCCGTAAATGTAAATCACCGCAGGGTTATGTTCGGATCCGATTCAAGCTTTCGGTCGAGACGTGTGCCAATGGCATCGTCAGGTACAAACGTGAGGGTGGGGCGTTGTCCAGAGAGGCGCGGGCAGTCTTTCTGCGTGGGGTCTGAGTTGGGTTTTCCCTAAACCCAGAACCCTAAACCCTAAACCCTAAACCCCACCCTTGAACCCTAAACCCATTGCGTTTGTGAGGTTTTGGGGTTTTGCTGTGTATTGTCGGCGTGGTCTGGCGGCGGAGTTTGGGATTCCGGGCCGAGGGCTTGTGTGTTGTGTTTTGAGATAGGGTTTAGGGTTTAGGGCTTAGGGCTTAGAGGGTTTAGGGTTTAGGGTTTAGGGTGGACCAGGTTTGAACCATTCCTGGGGACTGCTTGAACGGTGAGTTCAGGGTTCAGGGCACGAATGGGAGGACCCGAGGCACTGTTCGCACAAGGCATTCAGTCCCTTTCACCTTCCCAAGTGTTTCGCATGACAAGAGTTTAAGTTAAACGTGTAGCCTTGGGATGTGCACATAAACCCTGCGTGCCAACTTCTCGAACATCCAACACGCGAGCAGAATCCAGAAAACCGTGCGCTCCAGATCAGGAATCTGTGTGATACCACTGCAGCTGAGACCCAGGATTCATGAAGCACAGGACGAATCTAGACTCAAAACTTGCTTCCTTTCATCGTCGGCAAAGCTCTAAATACTGAGCCCGTGACCCTACACACGACACGTCCAAACCCTCTGCAAGAAGATGGACAATGCCATCAGCAACAGAACAAGTTAAAGAACATAGCGGCTCCCGATCCAAAGCCCCAACTCTGCAACAAGAAGCACAATTTTGTAAAGAGGATCTAAACCCTATAAGCCCCAAAACCCGAAGCCGTAAACCCTGAACCTTAAACCCTGAAGCCTAAGCCCTAAAGCCTTAACCCTAAACCCTAAACCCTAAACCCTTAAGCCCTAACCGGTTTCTGCCTTCTTGTTGGAGGACTTTGCCTCGATCCGAGACGAACTCTTTGCGGTCACTCCTCTGGAATCGCTGGAGGCCCTTCCCGCAAGGGTCCAAGTACCTAAGAATCGTATACTGTTTTGGGTTTAGGGTTTAGGGTTTAGGGTTTAGGGTGCTCCCAAATAGTAACCTACATAACTACTATCCCCCAATTATTGGGTCCTTTGGACCCTGAGGGTTCATGCTCTGTGCGAGAGACAGGAACACAGAAGCCTGAAGCAATTGGCAACACTAGTCGTCAGGCTACCTAAATATATGGGTAGCTCTCTAAATTTGGGTCCTTGTTTAGGTCCCCAAAATAGCACGGCACCCTTATAAAGAGGACCCTAAACGGGACCCTGATTTTTTTTGCAAAACTACCCTAAACCCTAAACCCTAAACCCTAAACCCTAAACCCTAAACCCTAAACCGATAGAATGTTCCAATCTTTGGGGCCCGGATATATTTCGAGCCGGCTCAGTCACTGGGGCTGGGGGTTTAGGGCTTAGGGTTTAGGGCTTTAGGGTTTAGGGTCAAGTAAGGGCTTCGTGTTTAGGGGCAGAGATCAGAAACCCTATCAACCCTAAGAGCCTTAACCCTATAAACCCTAAACCCTAAACCCCAAAAAACCCTAAACCCTAAGCCCTATAAACCCTAAGAGCCTAAATCCCTAAACCGATGCTAGGTTTTCCAGGCTCCGGCTGTAAAGAAGTGTGGCTGAGATTCTTGAACATCGGCAGCCCTCTGCAGGCAATGGACAGCATGATGCCCTTGGACGATCCTTTGGACGAGTCCGGCTACTGAGGGCTTACCTTTTGTAGTTCCTGGCGCATTTGAAGACGTTCGGCCCGCTGAAGCGGGTTCCGCTCCTAGTGAACCACAACCCTGGCTTCAACAACTCTAAACCAACCTGAAACCCTAAACCCCAAATCCTAAACCCTACACCCACAACCCTCAACCCGAAGCCCTGCACCCTAAGCCTTAAACCCTAATCCCTAAACTCTACACCCTAAGCCTTAAACCATAAACTCTAAACCCTACATCCTAAACCCTAAACCCTAAACCCTAAATCCTAAACCCTAAACCCTAAACCCTAAATCCCTGCCTGTTATGGCCCCGCCGCTGGAAGTCTCACCGGCTGGGGGTCCCCCCGATTTTTCCGCTTGGTGCCTCGGCCTGGATGGGCTATTCCAAGGTGTTTCAGGGTTCTAAGTTTAGGGTTTAGGGCTATAAGTTTTGGGTTTATGGCTTTTTGGGGTTTTTAGTTGAGGGTTTAGGGCTTAGGGTTATAAGTTTAGGGTTTAGGGTGTAGTGTTACGTCTGTAAGTCTAGATTCGAGCGTGGTTTAGGGTTTAGGGGTTTGGGCTTAGCGGTTCAGGGTTATCTTTTTGTGTTTCTGTTTTCGGTGCTTTTGGGCTTAGATCTCTGGCCTGTCCACAACAGAATGCAGTTTCACAGAAGAAGTGCCTCGTCTTCACAGATACTCTTACGGCATCGGCCCGGACACCTGATACAAAATTCTGATTTGAAAAGCCCTGGGCCAAGCCTTAAACCCCAAAAGACACCCGAAACTGTAAAGCCTGCTGAACCCGAAACTAGTACAAAGGCCTGAATGGTTGAGAGAAGAGCATTCCGTAGAACTACCAAAGAATGTTTACAGATCGAATCCAGGTCTACAGTACATCCTTAGTCCCCTCGCTCTTTCTCTCTCTCTCTCTCGCTCTCTGTCTCTCCTCTCTGTCTCTCTCTATCTCTGTCTCTCTCTCTCTCTCTCTATCTTTATACATATATATATATATATGTATATAGTGTATATACACATATAGACATACGCACAGATTTGTGTAAGTATATATATATATATGTGTGTTTATACGGTTAAATGTACATCAGAACATATACTTATGTAACCTAAACCCTAAACCCTTGCAGAAACACCGGAAATCGCCCCAAGCACTCAGAGGTCCTCAGAGGATCTTTGCTTCTGGGCTCCGGTTTAGGATTTCTAGAGTTTGCGGTTTGGGGTTCTAGGGCTTAGGGCGGTTTTTTGTGTCTTTTAAGTGTCGGAACAACTACCAAGGCTATCCCCTGTATAGCCACTGATCCAACCCTGCTATAGCAATGCCCTTCTTCAGACCGGCCCTGCTCTAATCATTAAAGCTCCTACATGAATTCTACAGAGCGGACCTTCACCTAAACCCTAAACCCGAAACCCAAAATGATTTCCGAAGTGTAGGGTTTGGTTCGGCTTCCGGCTTCGGTGGTCGAGGATTTCGGTGGCATTTCTGCGGCTTTCGCAGTGACGTCGGCACCCCAGCCTTCCCAGGAATGTGAGCTGCACCATGCGAATTAACCGGCTGCTGCGGCGTTTCCAAGAAGAATTCCTAGACCTGCTGGCTTGTACATGTTTCGGCCGCGAATGAAGCTCTGCATGAAATCACAACTCCCTGAATCCCACATCCAGTAGGGTTCAAGGGCTGAGTTAAGGGCAGTTTAGGGTTAGGGCAGTTTAGGGCTCAGCACTCGTAGAAACCTTGTACCTTAAAACCCTGAAGGCACCGGTAGAGAAAAACCTTTGGGGCAACACAGGGGCCGAGAAGGTCATCGATACTATTTTGGGGGCTCCTTACCATGAGTACAATAGAATAATAAAAGACTATCTACATAATAATAAAGGCCCCTTTAGTGAAGGGTTTAGATTTAGGACTTACAGTACGGTGTGTGATTTCCGGCAACCTCGTTTTTGCTAAATCGGAAGATGTTCGGAGCCAGGAAGGGTGCTGAACAGAAGTATGAACGGTTCTTTTTTCCCCGGTGTTCAGGGTTTAGCTGTTCATATATATATGTATATATATGGTCAGCCCCC